TTTGCCGAGGTGCGGGCAGAGGCAGGGGGGCAGTCTGGTGACTGAGGGGGCAGCCTCTGGGGGCTCATGGGCCGCAGGGGAGGTGGTGAGCCAGGGGTGGCCCTGCACGTGCACGGTGGCCCCCCTGCCTGCTCCCCTGCTGACGGGGGGGCCTGTTAGGGTTTCGGTGGTACCCTGACCTGATTTTCCCTGAGGCAGGCCCCTCAGGATCCTGGACCGCTCTGGGGTGCCAGAGTCTCCCTGCTGTGCTGGATTAGGCACTAATGGCCCTCAGTACCCTGCTCAGCCGTGGGGTCACGTCACTGGAGCACTTTGGGGGACAAGTGTCTGAGAGCGACTTCCACTTTGAAATGACTGAGCTGTGACCTCCGTCTAAAGACCTGGAGAGCAGCTGCGAGGGGCCCTGGGCAGCGAGGCACCAGTGCGTTTTCCTAGGCCTAGGCCCACTTGAGTTACCGCAGTCTGCCCGTGGTCACCCTACAACTCAGCAGAACCGGGGCACGAGCAGCCTCGTCCCAGAGGGAAGCTGAAGGGCTACAGAAAGGCGTCAGCTCTCCAGCCTGCAGTGCGGTGCTTAAGGCGCGGGACCCCACCTGGCGTTTGGAAGGCTCACGTCCTGAGCTGGCACTTGGAAAACGGCTGGGGGCGTCTGCATGCGCGGCCATCACCCCTGGGTGATCTCTCACGTTCTCTGTCTCTCCCTGTCTCTCTGGTGAGCACACATGCCCTATGGCAAAAAATGATGTCTGCTTCCCAGCCCTCTGACATCGACACTCCAGCCTGTCCTGTTGGAAGTCGCTGCCTTCAGACAATGGTCCAGGGAGCGCGGGGAGCTCTCGGCTCAGCCCAGTCTTGTTCACTGGTGGAAATGCTGCCAGATCCAAGCCTCAGGAAGCCCCGTGTCTGGAGACGCCTCCAGGAGCCCAGCTCACACCTCCTGCTGTGACTCGCCCTCCCGAGGGGTGTGGGGCTTGGCGCTGTCGCAGGGCGTGACCGGTCCAAGCGGGGGTCTCCGTCTCGTGGACTTGCCCCCAGACACAGCACGAGCGCCAAGGCCTTGCCAGACACTGGCCGGCAGATGTGAGCACACGGGGCCGGAGGGCTGCGAGTACCGGCATTGTTCTGTGGGGGGAGCGCCGGGTTGATGATTAACCTGGCTCCGTAGTGCACGACTCAAACTTGGGAGGCACTGAGCCTCTAATTACAAGTAGCCTTCTGGTAGAGAAGATCAAACAGGTCTTTTGTTTAATTTTCTTCTTTTTTTTTAACGTGGAGACCAGAAGGAACACACAGACTTTGTCTTGGAGCTTTTTGTTCTCTGACTGGATTTTATGATCAAAGAGCACAGTCACGTCTGTGCGGCATCGGCGGACACCTTGCGTGCTTCCTACGGGGAGAGCAGGGTAAGCTGTAAGGGGCACCGCGGTCCAAGCCTGCAGCTGCCCGTGCAGGTCCACACTGCGGAGCCCCCACCCAGGCCCCTGCCGGCTCCCCTGGCCCTGAGTCAGCAGGCGGGTGTGAAGACAGGAAGAGGGTCCCGCCTTCCCAGCACCGCCCCACAGGAATGCACGTGTGAGAATGCACTTGGCCTCTCCAGGGATTCGATCCAGTGGCCAGTTAGAAGGCTCATCAAAACGGGCCACACCTCCCTAACTGCTGTGCTCCAGGCTGCGAAAGGAGCCATCCGGGTGCCGGATGAGTGACAGTGGCGAGTCCTACCAGCACAGGGGGAGGAGGCTTTCAGTGTGTAGCACGGCCCGTCCTGGGTTTCTCAGCTGGCCACCTCGTACCTGGCTGCTTTCGAGAGCCTCTGTCCTTCCCCAACGAGGGGTGGCATTTCCTTTCTATGAGGGGACAGCCCCCAGTGGCACCGCGGGGAGCCCTCACCCGCCTACACCGTGTGCCTGAGAGCCAGAGCTTGCCTGCCCCAGAGGGCTACGGGGAGGGAAGGCCCCTTGGGACCACAATGCCATCTGAGCCTGAAGCGTGTCCCTGGCTGAGGTGGTGGTTCTAAGCACAGCGCGGGCGGCAGCCCTCTCTGCCGACAGGTCGGGCCCCGGCTGAGGTGGTGGTTCTAAGCGCAGCGCGGGCGGCACCCCTCTCTGCCGACAGGTCGGGCCCCGGCTGAGGTGGTGGTTCTAAGCGCAGCGCGGGCGGCACCCCTCTCTGCCGACAGGTCGGGCCCCGGCTGAGGTGGTGGTTCTAAGCGCAGCGCGGGCGGCACCCCTCTCTGCCGACAGGTCGGGCCCCGGCTGAGGTGGTGGTTCTAAGCGCAGCGCGGGCGGCACCCCTCTCTGCCGACAGGTCGGGCCCCGGCTGAGGTGGTGGTTCTAAGCGCAGCGCGGGCGGCACCCCTCTCTGCCGACAGGTCGGGCCCCGGTGCAGTCAGATTGCGTGGCTGTAGGTGAGAGGCCGGTGTGACCCTCAGATCTGAGCTGGCCTTGCCGACACACCAGCACAAAGGCAGGCCAGGCCAGGACGTGCCCACACCCTGAGTGGGGGCCTGGCATCCTCAGGACCCTGCGGGCCCCCTCTGGGTCAGGAGCATGCGTGGTCCCTGTCCGTGGTCCAGTGCGTGTCCCCGGGCCCCTCACTTCCCCGTGGGCTCTGGTGCACTGGGTGGTGCGACGCTTCCCTGCAGGACACAGGCATGGCTGTGGGGTTCCTGCCTGGACGTTGCCTTAGCATCCCTGGAAAGCAAGCGTCTAGATCCTGTCGCACACTCGGCCCCTCAAGGCACCATGCGTCCATAGCCTCCGAAGTGCCCCAGGCTTTCCCGGCTGCACTGCCCCAGGCCACACTGCTGGGGGCCAGGGAGGTCCTGCTCGCCCTTTTGGTGGTCCCTACAAATGTGGTCCCGGGTCGCTTGCTAAAATGTGGGCTCCCCAGCAGGCACAGTTCTGCAGGTAGGCCAGCGACCAACTGCCCAGGCCAGTGTGCCCTCCCCAGGGCCCGCCCTTAGCCAGGTGAGGGGACCCTGGTGCAGGGGACCCTGGTGCACACTCCCTGAAATGCCTTCCTGCACTCGGGTGCAGAGGGAGGAGCAGGCACCCCCGGGCTTGCCCGCTGCAGACTGAGCGACAGGGTGCTCGGCCGCCCCACGGTGGGCGTAGCTGGTGCCGCTCATGGGAGTGACTCGCCCTTGAGCACAGGGCTCACAGGAAGGAGCTGAGGACCAGCAGAGAGCCGAAGACCCAAGGCAGGGCCCAGGCAGCGGGCCAGCCAGGGGCCCTGTATAAATCTTGAGGGGGGTCCATAGCCCGAGGCTGTAATAAACAGCCCGTGAAAACCTGAGTGTCCGGGGGTACCTCAGCCATTAATCAGAAGCCACAGCAGAGGACCCGGCTGGCCAAACATTAATCACAAAGCAATTACCTGACACAGCACAGAGGGTGGCCTTTACTCCTGGGCCCGCCTGCAGGAACAGGGCAGACAGGTGGTCTCAAAGCCACGGCCGGCCTGGCAGAGGGACCTCAGGGTTGCGCTTCACGGCAGGAGAGGGGACACATTCCTTGCACGCAGTCACACAGCCCTCTGAGGACCCCGTGGGTGGCGAGTGGGCCGGGCCTCTGTTTCTGGGCCTTTTTCATTTATGATTTGCACCGGGTGATATTTACGTGTGTAAAAGCACACGGGTCTGGCCAGCCAGGGACGGAGGTTCAGGTGTCGGATCCCACAGGGCCGACTGCGTGGTACCAGCCCTGGACCCAGTGGCTTCAGAAACACGCTGGAGAGGAGTGGAAGAGAAGGGACTGCAGCGTGGCCATTCTGGGGCGATTCCTCACTCCCCCACCGCCCCACTCCCTTGTCTCTGCTGAGCTCATGAACCCTGTAGCAACTTAAATCAGAGCAATGACAAAAAGCACATGCCGGGGAGACGCAGAGTGTAGCCTGGGGGCTTGGGCGGTGGGGTCCTGTTCGAAGCAGGCCCGATTTCACCGTCGCTCATTCTCAGATGCCGGCCCGGCTGTGGACCCTGGAATTACATGAGCTTGGAGGCTGTTCTGAGACCCTGCCCTGAGCTGACTGTGTCAGACAGTCGCCACGCGCGGGCCCAGAGCGTGCCTGTACCATAGGAGTCCTGTGCTCAGGAAACCAGGGCAGAGGTAGCTTCGTGAGGACAGGGCACTGCCACCACCGCCGTCTCGTGACGATGTCTGGTACTGACGTTACCGCGTGGCCCCCGAGCACTGTGACTGGGGCTGAGGGAGCACCTGTTCCCTGTGCAAAATGGGAGGTAAAGTTAATCACACTCCTAACCAGGACGCCGCATGGTCACATCCTTCGGTTACTCGCTGCAAACGGAACTGCCAATCGGGACAGGAGTGTGCGCGGGGACCTGGGACCCACGCTGCCTCACGGTCGAAGGGCGTCAGCGTGCATCAAAGCTCCGTGCGTGTGCACCACTGCGTGTGCACGCGCATGTGTGGGCGTGAGGCCGATGTTCACAGCGAACTTCGTCAAAGTTTATTTATGCCATGAGAGAAACAGAGAAGGGAGAGATGGGGCCTCGCGCCACCAGCCAGGCAGGCCAGGGTCACGGCACACGCCTGCACCTGTGTATGGGGAGAGGGTGGCTGAGTGCGGGGCCCTTCCGCCCTGCTGCAGCCCCACAGCTCACAGTATTACCTGTGGGGAGGGAGAGCGTAAGAGTGTGCAGAGGGTCCTCTTTCCTTTCTCAGGACTTCCTCACCCCTTGAAAAGTCAGAAACTCGGGACCAGCAGATGGCGTAATGGTCATGTTGCTGGACTCCCATGTGGCCAGCCACAGTTAGAGTCCAGGGCCTGGAGGCTTGAAAACCAGGCCGGGCACGTGTGTGGGTACACCCAAGATCCCAGGGGAGAATGGAGGAGAAGGGATTGCAGCATGGCTATCCCCTCAGGGGATCATTTCGCACTGTCCCTCTCCAGCGAGCTAGAGTAAGAAAGGTCAGGGCTGCTGGTGTGGGGCGTGCGTGTGGGCCAGTGTGCTCCACCTGGGGCTGGAGGGGAGACCCGACAGGGGACGTGCTACCTGCCACTGCTGAACGCAGCTCGGCTTTCCTGTTGCTTCAGTTCTGACGTCACTCACTGGTATTGTGTGTCTGTGACGTCACTCACTGGTATTGTGTGTCTGTGTGACGCCACTCACTGGTATTGTGTGTCTGTGTGACGTCACTCACTGGTATTGTGTGTCTGTGTGACGTCACTCACTGGTATTCTGTGTCTGTGTGACGTCACTCACTGGTATTGTGTGCCTGTGACGTCACTCACTCACTGGTATTGTGTGTCTGTGATGTCACTCACTGGTATTGTGTGTCTGTGACGTCACTCACTGGTATTGTGTGCCTGTGACGTCACTCATGAGCTGGTATTTTGTGTCTATGACGTCACTCATGAGCTGGTATTCCGTGTCTGTGTGACGTCACTCACTGGTATTCTGTGTCTATGTAACGTCACTCACTGGTATTGTGTGTCTGTGTGACGTCACTCACTGGTATTCTGTGTCTGTGTGACGTCACTCACTGGTATTCTGTGTCTGTGTGACGTCACTCACTGGTATTCTGTGTCTGTGTGACGTCACTCACTGGTATTCTGTGTCTGTGTGACGTCACTCACTGGTATTCTGTGTCTGTGTGACGTCACTCACTGGTATTCTGTGTCTGTGTGACGTCACTCACTGGTATTCTGTGTCTGTGTGACGTCACTCACTGGTATTCTGTGTCTGTGTGACGTCACTCACTGGTATTCTGTGTCTGTGTGACGTCACTCACTGGTATTCTGTGTCTGTGTGACGTCACTCACTGGTATTCTGTGTCTGTGACGTCACTCATGAGCTGGTATTTTGTGTCTGTACTAATGTCTAGTTGAAAACTGCCAGCACATTTTAAGTCTGCAGTTGATAGAACCCCGCATGGGGGTCCGCAGGCTTGTCTTCCAGGAGGCTGAGCATGGAGCAGCGAGGCCACAGCTGCAGATGTCTGAGCACACTGCTGCTTGGTGCGGATGCTCGTCTCGCCGTGCCCGCACCCTGGGGTGCCGGGATCTCACTTCTCTCTGTTCTTCCCTAGTCGCAGCTGCGACAGCAAGACGCCGGCCTGAAGACCTGCCTGGACCGGCTGGGCCGGCACATCGGCCAGCTGCAGCTGGGGGCCAGCAGAGCCCCTGCTGAGGCCCTGGACAGCGACAGCAGGCCCAGCTCAGGTGCGCCTATGTGGTGAGCTCCAGCCTCCCGGGGCGCCCACGGCCACACCAAGTCCCCGTGCTGGCCAGGCTGCGTGGCTGCAGTGGCAGCAGCACTCAGTCCCGGGCCGATGTGAAGTTCAGAGGCTGTACTGCAGCACAGGACGGCGTCTGCTCTGGGCAGGGCGAGCTGGAGCCTTCTACAGATGCATGTGCTGGAGAGGAGTGCACCCAGAGACACACAGAGACACACACCCACAGAGACAGACACAGAGTCACACAGACATAAAGACACACACACAGACACAGAGTCACACAGACATAGAGACACACACACAGACATAGAGACACACACACACACACAGAGTCACACAGAGTCACACAGACATAGAGACACACACACACAGGGACACACATACAGAGACACAGAGACACACACCCACAGAAACATTCACAGAGACACAGAGACACACACACAGAGACACACACAGACACAAGAGGTTTTTGCTACAGAAACACACATACCTGCAGACACAAAGATGCACAGACACACGAGACATAGAGACACAGAGACACAGAGGCACAGAGGCATAGAGACAGAGACACACATAGAGACCCACAGACACAGATCCACACATAGACAGACACATAGACACACATAGAAATGCACACACATAGACACAGACACACGCATGGGCACACATGTAGACACACACATAGACACAGAGACGCATGTAAACACACATGTACGCACACGCGTGCACACACTTGCACGTGTGCTTTAACTGGAAGCGTTGCCGTGGGTGGAGAAAGCACCCTGAGTCGCTCGGGTCTTTTGAGCTGTTAGGGTGTCCCTCCGGGGCGTGACCACGGAGCCACGACATGCTGTTTGTGGGAGTGGACTCTGACTCTCTCGGTCGGAGTCAGCCTGCCGCCAGTGTCAGTCGGACGTGCTCGGGGCCACA